TGTGAGCTTGGGGAAATGTATGCTAACAAAACAGGTCAGCCTGACCCAGGTCATCTTGGGAGAGTCTCCTATTAGGGAGCCCTGAGAGGTTGAGCCACTTCTCTGCCCAAGTCACACAGGAAGTAGTTGTCAGAGACACAACTTGAACCGTGTACTCCTCGGCTCCAGGCCAACTTTTTTTTAAATGTTGCACAGCACTCAGTCTCATCTTGTTTTTCCTCTTTCCTTCTACAGAATTAATTTTCATCTCTATACTTTGCTCCTAACTGGCATGCATTTCAGCTCTTCTCTTCTAATCCCACATACCTCAACTTGCATGAAAACCCAGCTTGGAAGCCACTGTCACAGCTTGCCTTCAAGAAGGTTTCCTGATTAACCCCATTTGGTTCTGAGTACACACACACACACACACACACACAATTTTCATATGTACTACTTCCAGTATCACACAAGAGAAGGAGAACTTGGATGTAGGAGGCCCCTTCAAGTCCATCCGGTTGCTAGAGCTTTTATTCCTGTTAGTCTCTCCCATTAGAAGGCTCTACTTCAGGGAAGGGATTGCTTTGGCCTTTCTTCTTATCTCCAAAGCTTAGCAAACGGCCTAACTAGCATATGCTCAGGGCTTAATAAAGGCTTGAGAGGTGACCAAATATTTGCATAATTTTATAGTTGGCTCTTTAAATATTAAGTCATTTCATTTAAATTCTGTGACTTTACTCTAAGCTCCCTGAGGGCAGTTATTGTTTCTTTAGTTGTTTTTTTTTCTTTCATCAACAGAACTTCGTACAAAGAAGATAATTAATAAAAACCTTGTTTGTAAGAGTGCCCAGGATATAAACTGACTTCTGCATATCAGGCATAGAAAATACGTTTGCTTAATTCAAGTGATCAGCCACATTCTGCTATCATTAACTGATTTGTGATACCGGAGGGCTTCTGTACTTTACTTAGAACATAAATAAAAGCAAAATCTCCAAAATAAGGCAATGGGTTTAGAAAGTAAACTCAATTTCCTACTTTGAAGACCCTTATGCTAGGAAGTACTTCTGTCCTATTAATTTCTGTAAATGCAAACCTAAAACTTTTTTTTTCAAAATCATTTTCAAGTACATAAATTATTTAGATGCTGCCATCAGAAATAAATCCAAAATACCCCCCCCCAAATGTCACATTACTTTTTACTGCAGTTCTTCAAGCAGAAGACGCTTAGAGAAAGGGATGACCATGTTTGTTGTACAATGCTAGGTAAACTGACACGTATTTTAGGATGAGAAACAAATTACAGCAGGATTTTAATTTTTTAAAAATCACTGGTTATCCAGATGTATTTCAAAAAAGAAAAGTCCATCTGGAGAAATGACTATACCATATAAGATATCTATACTAACATGTACAATTTTTAAAACATTAGTCCAAATTTTAGAGCCAGAGATTAAAAAACAGAACACCTCTATTTACAAAAACATAGCAATGTAAAAATTTTCAGAAAATAGAACTGGGAAGAGTAGCAGTAGGTGTGAGCATTCATTTATTTATGATGATGATACCTGCTAACATTTACACAGTGCTTACTAAAGTGCTCCAAGTGCCAGATACAGTGCATTTGCTTTTCACAACAATGCTGGGAGGCAGGTGCTGTTATTTTCTCCATTTGATAGACAGGGAAACTCAGGTAAATAGCGGTTTAGTAACTTGCCCAGGGTCACACAGCTATAGTAAGTATCTGAGGCTGAATTTGAACTCAGGCCTTTCTGACAGCAAGAGAAGTTGCGCCACTTAGCTGCCAAAGATGTGCAACTATAACTGTTAAATTCCTGATACAGAGATGGCAAGAAGGAACTTGAATAGAATAATTCAGTTACAGGGGCCAAGGTCATAGACAGCAATTACTTATATTTCACAGATCATTTTTATACGATCTCTCTTGTCAAAAACTAAAACCATATAAAAGTGATTTCCTTTGTCAGTGTCCTAACCAGCTCCCTCCACATACACACCCTCCCCCAACACACATCCCTTTTTAAGGTATAGCCTTTGATTCAGGAACTGTGTATAACTGGCAAAGAAGCACAATTCTGAGCACTGGTCATTCTATACACTGATGTCTAAAGATACCTTCTGATTTTCATTCAAGTACCTCAAAAACAGGCTGGATCATTTTATTTATTGTGACCCTATTTTCCTAAACAGTTTAAACCTATAGAAAGATTAAACCATGTCCAAAGTCATAAAATATACTATTATCAGAACAAAATCAGTCATACAGGAATATGTGAAGCCATTAATTGCTATCTCTCTGTAAACTACAATAACCACTGAAGGAGGTGGCAAACAGTGGATGCCGGGTACAGTGGGAGGCGGCCCTCAAAGGACTGGATTCAGTCAGAGAGTTTGGTTTCAAGGGTTAGCTCGGGAACCTTTGCCTAGTGAATTAAACTTTCTAAGTCTGCTGCCTGGGCAGTTAGGCAGCACCACAGTGCATAGAGAGCTGGACCTGCCGTCAGCAAGACCCACCTGGGACCCTGGGCAAGTCATTTAACCCTGATTGCCTCAGTTTCCTCATCTGGAAAATGATCTGGAGACGGAAATGGCAAACCATTCCGATGTCTTTGCCAAGAAAACCCCAAACAGGGTCATGAAGCGTCAGAAAGAACTGAATGACAATGGAAAATCTGTCGCCTAACAGGAAAAACGGATTATAACACTTGTGTTAATGATCTCACAGGATTATGTTGAGGATAAAAATGCAAATTATTTTTGTAGGATTCCTATGTTTCTGTTTGAGAATAAGATATTTCTATTTATATTCGCATATATCTATGTCTATGTCTGGGAACTTCCCGTAGAGCAATGGGTGGTGATATGCCAAGAATGGTACAATAAAAACATCTACTTCTTTCACTAGGATTGTTCTATGAATAAATGTTATTCTGGAGAAATCAGAAGAGATGGTGCCAGGGCTTCATGTCACTAGCTGTTTTGATCAGCTTTCAGGTGTTCAGCTATCATCTCCTTGATGATTACTCCCAGATCTCTTGGTATCTTTCCCCCTATACCCACAAGTCTTCCTAAGAGCTCTAGTTCTTTGGAGGGCACCAGTATCCTTCCTATAACCTTGGGAAACCACCTCAGTCATCCTCCACTTTTCACTCTCCCCCATCCTCTGTATAAGTTAGTTTCTAAGTCTTTTTGATTCCAAAGCTCTACCATCTCTCCACTCATGCAGCAACCACTTTAATTCTGATTCCACTTGTTGGACTGTTCTGGTTTTGTTTTCTTATACTTGGTATTTCCTCTCTCTAAACAACCCTCTATAAAGCTGCCACAATTATATTCATGAAACACAAATCTGTACAAATCACTCCCATGGCTCAAGAAACCTTGATAGCCCTCAATGGCTACGAAACTAAACCAGAACCTTCATTTTACAATCTTGCTCCAGCTATTTAGACTGATTTGACATTACTCTCCACATGTCCTCCATATTACTTGTACATTCTTTTCCATCTTCCTCCTTGGGCCCTTTGCCCAAAATGTCACCCATGCCTGCAGATTCTTGTTCCTAACTACTGTTTCTTTAAATCCCTAGTTCGAGGATCAAGTGACACTTTCTCCTATACACAGTCTCCTGATTCCCCTAGTCGTTAAGTTTTCTACTTGCTATTCTCAAATTATTTTGTATTTCTTTCTGTAATATAAAATAATACTTTGTATTTTTGTTCCCTGAGGTCAATCAAAATGATAAAAAAGAGCTAGGTGAACACCACTAAAACATATGGCATCCAACTGAAACAAATCAATCTTGAATTTCTGAAACAAGTAATATAGATAATAATAATAATAAAATAATAGATGATAATAAATAAATAAATAATGGTAGATGTTAATAATAAAAAGGGAGTAAAAAAGGGAGTAATGGAGAAATTGCTGGAATAACCATCAGAAAATGGTTTCAAGAACAAACAAACAAACAAACAAAAAAAGGCTACCTAACCTCTTTCCAGAGACTGCAGCCAAAGTAAAGCAGTACAGGTAATGGCAGAGGAGTTCTGAGTCAAGGAACTGGGAAGAGAACTCATAACAAATAGCTTCTATTTTCTTAGTTGATTAAGTCATAGAGAATGTAGGTGATGGCATATGAAGCTTAAGAAGGTAAGAGGTTCAGAATTATTCTGACAGTGCTAACTTATAGAGAGTTCAACAGTGAAGAATAAAAGCTTTGCTACGCAGCACTGATCGTCTAGCAGAAATGAGAAAACAAATTTACAATGAACCCAGTTAGCATAATTGCGTAATATTCAGGAATATTTCAGCATGAACAGAAAAAAAAAGTAGCTAGAGAACAGAAGTAACCAAGGCTAGGTTGTTTGGGAGAGGTGGGAGCAATGAAAGAATAAGGAAACAAAGGGTTCAAGTTAGAGGAGAATACCTAGTCAAAGAAGTATAAAATAAGATTAAAACTATTACTGGAAGAAATTGAGGTAAGAGAAAGACATAGGTGGAGGGAAGGGCAGTTACAATTGGCCAAAGAATGTACTTTGGGGCAGCTCCAGGCAGGTGGAAACATGGATAGAGGGAAAATTATGATCAAGGAGAGTACCAATTGGTAACTGTAGGAGAATAATCACTCTTCCTCATCATGGGTATAATCTGCACATTGGAGATAGAATTCAAGTAGTAACATTAGGAAAATGAAGTACTTTATAATGCCTTAATAATCTCTCATAGCAACACAACTGTTCTTTTATTTAATTAGCCATACTAAATCGAGTGTAAGTATCTGAGGCTGGAACTGAACTCAGGTCTTCCTGACCACCTGTCCAAAATCCTAGGTGCCGCGCCACCCAGCTGCCTGGGGTTGCCCGACAGGCTTGGCTAACAACGGCAGCAGTGATGAGCATTTCCCCGGCACTTAAGGCTTATGGTGCACTGAACACGTGTTACCTCATCTGATCGCCACAACAGGACTCGGTTGTGATTTGTGCTATTTTCATCCCCAGTTTACAGAACAATTAAACAAGGTAGACAGAGGTGAAGTGACTCGCCATCACTACTGAAGTGTCTGAAGATTACAGAGCTGGGATGAAGAGGGACAACTTGCTGGAGAAGACGGGAGAGAACAGGGTCATGTGTCTGTGGGGGAGTTCAACCTGGCAAGGCCATGGGCATGTCCAAATGTCTTCTAATCCTCTCTGAACGGGATATGAGTTAGCTTTCTTAAAATTTATCAGACACGTTATAAATATTTAAATATTTGGAATCTTTCTGAACTTCAATTCTCTCTCAAAGTAAACATATCACAATGGAATGGGGGGGGGATCTCATAATCAAAAACAGTTTCTCAATGCCAATAAAGAGACCAAATGTATTCGATATTCTATGCTAATCCTGCATACTGATAACAAGCAAAAGCAAAGCAACTGAAAAGACTCCAAGTGCCCTCAAATAACCTTCCCAGACTGTTCTGACAAAATGCACTAGATGCTGACTCAGGAAGGTCTGACAGACACAGATTACATTTCCCCTTAGTGTGCAGTCCTCGCTCTGTTCCATTAAACTGGATTCATCTGCATGAGGAGTACTGATCAACAAAACAGACATAAAATATGGCCCCTGATATTCTGCTCTGAATACAAACTACAGCACAGACCAACTTCAAATCTGCGTATTTGAGGTACAGACCAAGGTATGGACATAGCGCTGATTTTTTCACATGAAACCTTAGTTGATGGGTATCAATATCAGCTTTATCTTCTTTAGGACGAGAGGATTTTACACAGGTTACCATGCTGCTTAATTGATATCCATAAACAGCCTTTTCTGAACTACCTAACCCTGAGAAGTCAGTCCTTCAGTAAATTCAGAGTCCCTAATTCTTGAGACTCCTAAGTGGAGATGATACTTTGCAGGAGGCAGGACAAGAAAAAGAAAGCTGACGTACAGCAACCCCCCCCCCCCCGAGTGATGCCTCTGGGGTCTGGAACACTGGGCACTTCCATTCTTGATGACACAGTCAGGAAGATGACAAAGCTGGCTGACAGATTTCAACACTTGCTAATCCACTCCCCGAGCCAAATACAGTGACAATCTGTGACTGGCAGCAGCAATGAAGAAAAAATTTCCATTATACTATATCCGAGCATATCTAAGATGGCATTTGGTTTTTCTTTATGACTTCTAAGATTAAGCATCTTTTAAGCCTTTGAGCAGTCTACTGAAGGAACCGTTCTTTGGCTAGCTCTGCCCTGAGGCATAACTTTCTTTGGGGTATTTAAAGGGCGGGGTGGGAGGGTGGAGCTCCAGAACAGCAAGGCTGTCATAATTCTTTTCTCATCATATCCCTGGTGCTCAGCGCGTAAGAACCACTTAATAAATTCTGGTCTCTTTCACACATGCACTTTGAGGGACAAACCTTTTTAAAACTGGTAAGTAATTTTCATTCTACATTCAATGCAATCCACTCTATGTTCCGACAAAATCCAAACCCATACCATTTTATTTAGCAAATCAAAGAGTCAAATTAAACTAAAAATTCTGGGTTTTCATGCCTAGAAGAGCCCTCATACCCAACATACACTATGATTTCTTGGCAACTCTGACTGAAAATTACTAAAACAAAACAAAAACAAAACCTCTGGCAAAGTCCTAATCAAATGCCAACTACAGCACAGAAGTGGCTCTCATATCCCAAAGGCAATGGCAGCAGAACAAAAATCATGGCACGCTCTACCAAGATGGCAAGGCTTCAAGGACGGGCCAAGTAATGGAGCGAAGGTCTGCCGCCGGCGAATGAGCCGAGTCGAGCTACAACTGAAAGGACTTTAGGTTAGCTGCAGGACAACCAATCTTTTAGCCTCAATAACTCACGATGCTTATCTATAAAGCACAGAAACTGTGTTATCTGCATTTATGGAAGAACTGTACACATCACTAAATCATAAATCTTTTAAGTTCTGAAGAAAAATGAGAAAGCACAAAGGAAAAATCAGGTGTTAACACATTCACATTTGGCGATAGTTAACAAAATGAACTGTCTTATTAATGCTTGCTTTAAATGGATTTTGTGCTTTAGCAAGTCATTAATGTCTATTTCTTATTTTCTCAGTATCACAGAACATTCTTCCCAAAACTGACTTTCAACAAGTCTCAGCTTTCTCTAGGAATTAATTCTAGAACTCTACTTTGCAAACTAGTAGCTATCTTTTGTGTGTGTGTGTGTGTGTGTGTGTGTGTGTGTGTGTGTGTGTGTGTGAAGGAAAGTCATGCCAACAAGTATTTATTAAGCACCTACTATGTGCTGGGCACTGTGTGTTAAGTGATAGGGAAACAAAGGCAAAAACCATAGTCTTTGTTTCTGAAACAGCTGACATTCGCGACAGCATGCAAACAGCCGCGCACAAACAAGATGTACACAGAATAACGGGAGATCATCTCAGAGGAAGGCTGATCAAGAAGGGGGACAACAACTAAGTCCTGAAGGAAGCCAGGACAAGGCAGGGAGGATGAAGAGAGCTTCCAGGCACAGGGAGCAGGCAGCGGGAATGCTCAGAGCAGCATCCTGCAAGAGGGCCAGCAAGGTGCCGGCACCACTGAGTTGCAGAGGGAGTGGAAGGGAGCAAGGTACGGGAAGACTGGGAAGGTGAAAGGGGGTAGGGTTAAGGAAGGCTTTCAAAGCTGAACAGAGGATTTTCATAACGGATCCTGGAGGTAACAGGGAGTCACTAGAGGTGACTGAATAGGGTGGTGTCATGATCACCTCTGCACTTCAGGGAGTCAGCTGGAGTATGGAGGGGAATGGGGAAGAAAAACCGAGGCATCCACATAGTCTGGGTGAAAGGAGAAAAGGGCCTGCACCAGAGGAGAGAAGCGAGCATGTAAGTTACACGTTGCTAATGCTGCCCATCTTCTGAGGAGCCAGTCACTATCCACTGAGGCACCACTTCACTTACAGCATAGCACTGATGAGATGGCTCACTGGGCATGGAGTCAGGAAGACTCATCTTCCTGAGTTCAAATCTGGCCTCAGACTTTACTAGTTGTGTGACCCTGAGCAAGTCATTTAACCCTGTTTGCCTCAGTTTCCCCATCTGTAATATGAGCTACAAAAGGAAATGGCAAGCCACTTCAGTATCTTTGCCAAGAAGCCCCTTATGGGGTCACAGAGAGTCAGATATGACTGAACAACAAAAAAAAAAACTGATGAGGTGTTTTCTTTTTGTGACTGATGGGTTTTTGTTTTTACATTACGTAATTTTCAAGGATAGGCCACCTCCTACTCAGCCCAGCCAGTATGGCCCATAGCAAGGACTTAGAGAGGAAGGAGCAATTCCAAAGAGCAAACCAACAATTAATTGCCTTTGTCTAACCACGTTCGTGATACTTTACACATGTATCTACCACCAGCCAAGACAGAAAAGTATATTTACCACAGAAAATTTTGGCATTAAATACTTCGTTACGGATGAAACGCTCCCTCCTATCTTTGCCCCTGTAGGGTACGTGACTGTCAGTGAGATGTCAGTCTCAAAGAGTAGGGACGCTTCATTAATCCTTTTCTGTGGGAAGGGGGCAGAACACAGAATGGACATGCAGCAGCCACTCAAGGCCTGATCCCCCCGTGGATCTACATGGAAGTTTTGAGCCGCTCCACTTCCAGGCCTTGTTAGGCAGTTAGGTCCCCCCAGCCCCAGGGGTCCATCATATTGGTGCCAGACTTAGTGCAGACACCTGATCTGCTAAGCTCCCTGCAGCTCCCAAGTCTGAACTCAGGACAGGCATCAAGCCCTACCTCCCTAGAGCAAGGATTCCTGGGGGGCACCAACATCCCCAGGCTAATCACTTTCTTCGCATCATTTTAAACTGCTTTCCAGAACGGATGGCTGCCAACACTACAGGAGTGTGCCTGTCTCTCTACAGCCCCTCCAACACCCGTCGTCTTTCCCAATGTGTGAGCTGCAAGGTTAACACCTCTGGGTGATTTGGAACAATCTTTCACATGGCTGTTCATAGTTTACAATCCCTCTTGAGAACTCTTTATTCTGATTCTCTGGTCAGCCACTCAGTGGCTCATCCTAAGTATGCATCTTAAATATCAAAGACAGATCAGAAATATTAAATGTGAAGACTTCCCTCCAATGAACTATTTTCCTTTCTTGGCAAGCTTCACTGATTCTGCTGGTGAAAAAGCTTTACAACACGATAACTGAATTCATCTATTTTATCTTTTGACATTTGCTGCCTTTTATTTTGCTAAGAATTCTACTCCATTAAACAACTGTGAGATACGTCTAAATCACTTTCTTTTCAAATTTTTAGAATGCAGATAGTCCTAATCAAATTGATGTCAAGTTTTTTTTTTCCCCTTTATGATCATAATTGGTTACAACTTCTGACCTTTGGGAGAGAAATAGAACAAAACTAATGTCACTTTGATAAGAAGATGCTTCAAATGGTTGAAGACGAGCATGGTTTTAGGGGAAGGAGTGTGTTCCAGGATAGGAGTGGTTCAGTTTTTTCCAGGCTAAACATTTCCTTTTCGTTCATATTGGATCTTGGAGGACATCATCTCCAATAACCATACCTCCTGGGTCCTCACTTTATGGAATCCTCTGCCATCTTGTAAATTCAATTAAACAAGAATTTAACAAGCCAATGTTTCCAGCACTGTGCCATGTCACTGGTGTTCTTGCTCTTAAGGGACATGTTATGTCCTGCTGCTGGTAAAAGGAAACACAGCATGCACAAAACTAAGTTTAAACAAAAAGCTAAGTGCAAAATAATTACAAGGGAAGGAGGAGATCACTAACAACACGGGCAATAAGGAAAGGCTTGGTCATGAGGCAGAAAGTTCTAGGACTGTGGGAAAGTGTGTAGAGTCACGGAGGCAGAAGATGTAGGGTCATGGACAAGGAACAGTCAGCTGACCAGCTGGGCTGGAATGTACCTTGGGTGAAGGTGAGTGATAGGAGATGAACCTTAAAAGATAGATAAGCTGCAGTCAGATTATGAAAGGTTTTAAATACCAAACAGATCGGTTTGGACTTTAACTAAGAAGCAACAGGGAACCATTCTCAAGCACATGGCTTATTTTTGCTCTTTCAAAACGGTATATTTCAAAGGATAAGAGAGACCAAGGTGCTTGGGGGCATTTAACCTATGTTTGACAGACTTTTTAAGTACCAGGATTCAAAGCCAGGTCTAATGAACTAATCAACTAAAAAACAATCATTTATCAAGTGGTTACTATGGGATAGTCACTGTGGTAAGCACAGGGTATAAAAAAGACAAGAATGAAACACAAAGTCCATCTGTAGGTTTATACACAATAAATACAAGGTAACTGGGAAGGGGACATGCTTTCATACATAGCTGGGGGGATCAGCAAGGTATCTTGAAATGAAGGACTGCAAAAGGTGAATGTTGCGGAAAGGCATATTTCAGA